TCTTCAGAACCTTCACTAACAAGAAGAATATTATGTCCACATATCAAACTGAATTTAATGACCTACTCCAAAATACAATCAAATCATACAAACTCAAAAATAATATCACGCTCACAGACAAGGAGACCTGAGATCTAATACAAACCAAACTCTACCAAAAACTTACAACTAACTATTTGTTTAATCTTAACTTTAGATCTTTAAAACTATATCAAACTTTCAAATAATTAAGTACTGCAGAAATTTTATCAAGACAACTCCACTTGAAAATCCAAAAACTATATTAGACACAATCTACCAAGTTCATACCTTACTTCGCCAAATCTTATCTGAAAAATCTGAACTAATCAGCAAAGAAATTCTAGAGATACTTCCATTTGAATTACTTATAGTAAAGAGATCACAAACCAAAGCAATTACTAATATCTTACATACTATCTTCAATTTTGATACTTTACTAAAGACATACTTTATTACCTTATCTTAAGCACCAGATAACTCTATACAACTTAAAGAAGAACTCAAGAAATTCTTTCCTATAACTTATTTCAGAGTACTTAAATATCTAAGCTACTATCGAAACAAACTAGCTGATCATTACAGCTTAACAAAAATCCCACTAACTTATTTTGATCTATCTCTACTCAAAGAACCTCTACCTCTAATCTACTATCAACTAAACAGCAGAGTTAGATATCTATTCATAATCAACTCAAACTATTATGAATTTACTCTACAACAAGTAGTAGAACTACTATATGAATATTATACCTTCAAGAGAATACCTAATGATTTCTTCAAACAGAAGCCTGTATTACTATCTGACCTAGAAAAAATCAAGACCATTACTCAATATGTTTATCTGATTACTGATGATAGTATAGCAAAAAACTTCTTATAAGAAGTATCACATAAATACAAAGTCAGATTCTTAATTCACACTGATATTATGACAGCTAACCCTACTAATAAACCTAAATTACCAGATAATCCTCAAGATATCTCAGAATTTACCCTAATACTCCTAATCTCAACTTCTCAACAACTCATACATACTACAAGACTACTTCGATTACAATACTACTTCAATAAAATTTCTAATTCCTGAATAAAAATTGACCAAGACAACGCACAACCAAATACAACTACAAATACAAACACAAATAATACTAATAATAAAAAACTAGCTATTCTATTAACTCTTGTAGAACTCCAAGAAAAACTTGAACTTATTCAAGATAAAATCCTTGTTACACTTTCTATCACTTAACAAAAAAACATAATATCTACACTATCAATACTCAAACAATATTTTGATATCATCAAAATACCTATATATCTTCTACAACTTCTACCTCTACCAGTACCTACCTGGGACATCTTTAACTAAATAATATGAGTTACAACTAACAAACTGATTTAAATTCTAATACATCTACACATACTTTACCACTAAACCAATACCAAACAGATTCATTCAACTCTATTAATATAACTACTCACAATGTTCAAGGACTTAATAATCCTTTTAAACTCCAAACATTCCTAGAGTTCTGCTATAATAGCAACTACCACCTAATCAGTATGACTGAAACAAAAATTGCAGAATCTAATAATAGTCACTACCAACTAGCTAACTCATACTACTAAATCTATATATCCAACTGTAATCTAGAAACGGCCAAAAAACAAGAATCGAGTATGGGCATAGCAATAGCAGTCTATAAACTATTTCAACTATACATCTACAACATTCAAACTGAAGCAGAAACAGCAATTAATATTGATTTCTTTTTTCCTCAAAACCACAAACTTAGAATTATATCAATATATCTTCCCTCTAACAACAATAAGCTCAGAGATATCACCTAACATACAGTCTCAACTTGGATCAATTATGCAATACAACATGACTACTACATGATTATACTAGGAGACTTCAATTCTAACTTGCAAAAACATACAATGAAGTCGAAGCTACCACTATTCAATACATTACAAACCAACAGCATAACAAGTTTGCTACAATACTTCGATATAACAACTTCAACCTGGTCCAGATCTTCTCTTCATAGCCAAATTGATGATATATGGATATCTACATTACTCATATTATCGATAACTAAACCAAAACTAATTGATACAGAATTTATTACAAATAGCGATTACAAAATAATTCAAATACAATAGTTTACTGGCATCTATATAAAACAACATAGATACAAAAAGAAAAAAAGAGTAGTTTTCCAGTACAACAAGATAACTGCAGACATGTGGACTGACTTCCAAAATAGTGTATCAATATTCCTAAAAAATCATACACATACACAACTTACAACTATTGAAACAATACAAGATCTTAATAGACAATGGCACATTCTGAATTAGGCAATTAAACAAGCTTCAAACTAATACATACCACAAGCCAAAATTGCATCCAAAACACACTATGCATTTTCAAAAAAGCTACTAAACTACATGCAGCACTCCAAAAAATTAATACGACTCTACGCATACTTAAAAACAACTCAAACTTTGACTTAACTACCATAGTTAACTCAAACATTACTAATATAAACAAATTAGTGAATTTAGTATTCTACAGATGCCCAACCCATCTGAATTAACAACTACACTACCAGACTATATTGTAACACTTAAACAATACCAAAAAATGATATATTATGCACGTAAACTCGAAAACAATTTAGCATATAAACATAACATTGACAAATACATAACTAAACGATATAACAACTTTATAACTAATACTACATCAATGATCAGTAGCATGCTACAGAGACATACTGACCTAGTAATTTTACATAACATTACTCACTCTAACCATATTACCACAGAATCTTCAGAAATCAAAAAAGAAATCAAACAACACTTTGAGAACTGAACTAAACCAAACTCTATGAACAACAACTACTGAGATAATTGGTAAAATAAATACTGCCTACAATCTAATATCAACTCACAATGGTACAAAGAATTACTACATCTAATTTCAATACCAGAACTACAAGAAACTATACAAGAATCCCCACTAGGCAAAGCTACTGGACTACAACTCATATCTAACGAAATAATAAAGCACCTAGACAAATACATGACTGAAAAATTACTAAATATCTTTAATGCATACATGATACTAGAAGATATACCAAAAATGTGGAAACAAAGTACTATATATCCTATATCCAAAAAACAAAAATTCTCTAGACAACTAAATGAAACTAGACCTATCTCACTCATAGAACATACAAGAAAAATCTTTACTAAACTTATCACAAAAAGACTCAACTCTATTTTTAATAGATACTCCATTCTCCATCCATGCAACTATGTAGCTCTCCCTAATACCTTAACTATATTACCCATAACGACAACAATGAATATTATCAAAGATGCCCAAGTTTTTAACAAGGAACTATGGTTACTCAGCCAAACATATTCAAAGCATATGACTCAGTTCATATTCCATTACTTAAAAAAGCACTAAACTGAATTTTTATACATGTGCCTAACCATTAAAATTGTAATTATAGTAAAAATAATAAAGAGATAAAAAGGAGATACACCTAATCCTAAAATTCTTGAAAATAACCAAGTTCTAGTACATCTATTTTCTATAAACGAAACGCGTGCTACAAGTACTTGTCTAATTACATCGGTTACAGGAACAAGATTTAAAGGACTAATTGTTTCAATTTCTGTTAAAACTTGTTCCAAAAAAGCTGTTACTGGTAATGGTAACTCTTGAATAAGTTTTTGATCCGCTTCATTCTTAACAGTATCTCCCGACAAGTGTGACGCCATATAAGTTTTAAAAAAATAAATTTTTTTATCGTTATGAACAAAATTATAAAGTGGACATTTTTTTAATCGATAATGGTCATTTGATGATAACATACTACAGTCAGTACTACAGTAACCATGGTCATCCCAAAAACAAGGTTGTGATCCAAATTTTTCGACCGGCTAAGCCGATAAAATTTTATCGGCTTAGCCGGCTTAGTCGATTAAGTTACATTGGAATGTCGTAACTGATAATAAAATCGATCAACCGATTTTTAAAAAAATCGACCGGCTAAGCCGATTTTTTCACTATCGGCCAGGTAACTTTAGACTTTATTTTTCCATACAAACTAGGCATCTTTTTTTTTTATTTTCTTATACTCTGGTGTAAACGGAGATAGAATCTTATATCCTAACTGTTAGGTCTCGAGATAGAATTACGCAAAATACAACAGGTTACATTTAAGGAATAGGTCTAAATATAAGAATAAGAATACCAAATTTTCTATTATCTGTTATATGAGTCATTTAACTGACAGGCCACTTCGCTGACAATTTAGCCGATTTAGAGTTAGGATTAGGTTAGTGTTAGTCAAATTTTATTTCGGTGAAATGAGACGTAATTCTGATGATGGAAGACATATATGGATACACAGACTAAACATACAAAAACGATAACACTTATTTTTATTAATTTACAACTTTCCTTTAATATTATTATTGGTCAAAATTGCCAAACCGTTACCGAGTACAATTTTATTCCTTTCTTTAGCTTTTACCACAAATATAATATTTGTTTTCCCATTTTTGGTATATCTTCTAGTATCATGTATGCATTGAAGATATTTAGTAATTTTTCAGTCATGTATTTGTCTAGGTGCTTTATCATTTCATTGGATATGAGTTGTGGTCTGGTAGCTTTGCCTAGTGGGGATTCTTGTATAGTTTCTTGTAGTTCTGGTATTGAAATTAGGTGTAGTAATTCTTTGTACCATTATGAGTCGATATTAGATTGTGGGTGATATTCATTTTGCCAATTATCCTAGTAGTTGTTGTTCATAGTGTTTGGTTTAGTCCAGTTCTCAAAATGTTGTTTGATTTCTTTTTTAATTTCTGAAGGTTCTGTGGTAATATAGTTAGAGTGAGTAATGTTATGTAAAATTACTGAGTTAGTATATCTCTGTAGCACACTACTGATCATTGATATAGTGTTAGTCATAAAGTTGTTATATCGTTTAGTTATGTATTTGTTGATGTTATGTTTATGTGCCAAGTTGTTTTCAAGTTTACATATATGATATATTGTTTTTTAGTGTTGTTTAAGTGTTACGATATAGTTTGGTAGTGTAGTTGTTAATTCAGATGGGTTGGGTATCTGTGGGATATCTAAATTTGCTAATTTGTTTATGTTAGTAATGTTTGAGTTAACTATGGTAGTTAAGTCAAAGTTTGAGTTGTTTTTAAGTATGTGTAAAGTCGTATTAATTTTTTGGAGTGCTGCATGTAGTTTAGTAGCTTTTTTGGAGAATGCATAGTGTGTTTTGGATGCAATTTTGGCTTGTGGTATGTATTAGTTTGCAGCTTGTTTAATTGCCTAATTCAGAATGTGCCACTGTCTATTAAGATCTTGTATTGTTTCAATAGTTGTAGGTTGTGTATGTGTATGATTTCTTAGGAATGTTGATACACTATTTTGGAAGTCAGTCTACATATCTGCAGTCATCTTGTTGTACTAGAAAACTACTCTTTTTTTCTTTTTGTATCTATGTTGTTTTATATAGATGCCAGTAAACCATTGTGTTTGAATTATTTTGTGATCGCTATTTGTAATGAATTCTGCATCAATTAGTTCTAGTTTGGTTATTGATGATATGAGTAATGTTGATATCCATATATCATCAATTTGGCTGTGAAGAGAAGGTTTAGACCAGGTTGGAGTTGTTATATCAAAGTATTGTAACAAACTTGTCATACTGTTAGTTTGTAATATGTTGAATAGTGATAGCTTAGACTTCATTGTATGTTTTTGCAAGTTGGAATTGAAGTCTCCTAGTATAATCGTATAGTAGTTGTGTTGTATTACATAGTTAATCCAGGTTGTGACTGTATATTAGGTGATATCTCTGTGCTTGTTATTATTAGAAGGTAGGTATATTGATATGATTCTAAGTTTCTGGTTTTGAGAAAAAAAGAAATCGATATTAATTGCTGTTCCTGCTTCAGTTTGGATGTTATGGATATATGGTTGAAGTAGTTTATAGACTGCTATTGCCATGCCCATACTCGATTCTTGTTTTTTGGCCATTTTTAGATTATAGTTAGATGTATAGATCTGGTAGTATAGGTTAGTTAGTTGGTACTGACTATTGTTAGATTCTGCAATTTTTGTTTCGGTCATACTGATTAGATGGTAGTTGCTATTGTAGCAGAACTCTAGAAATATTTGAAGTTTGAGAGGATTGTTAAGTCTTTGAACATTGTGAGTAGTTATATTAATAGAGTCAAGTGAGTTCTTTTAGTATTCGTTTAGTTGTGAAATATGTGTAGATGTATTAGAATTTAGCTCGTTTTGTTGATTGTGACTCATATTAGTTAGTTGAAGATATCCTAGGTAGGTACTAGTAGAGATGGGAGTTGTAGGAGATATGTAAGTATTTTGATAATGTCAAAATGTTGTTTGAGTATTGATATTGTGAGTGTTATGTCTTTTTGTTAAGTAATAGGAAGTATAACGAGAATTTTATCTTGAATAAGTTCAAGTTTTTTTTGAAGTTCTACAAAAGTTAATAGGATAGCTAGTTTTTTATTATTAGTATCATTTGTGTTTGTGTCTGTAGTTAGGTCTGGTTGTGCATTGTCTTGATCAATTTTTATCCAAGAATCAGGGATTTTATTAAAGTAGTATTGTGATCAAAGTAGTCTTGCAGTATGTATAAGTTGTTGAGGAGTTGAGATTGGGAGTGTTAAGTTGAATTCTGAGATATCTTGAGGATTGTCTAGTAATTTAGGTTTATCAGTGAGATTAGCTGTTATAATATCAGTATAAATTAGAAATCTGACTTTGTATTTATACGATACTTCTTGTAAGAAGTCTTTTGCTGTACTATTATCAGTGATCGAATACACATATTGAGTGATAGTCTTGATCTTTTTCGGGTCAGATAGTAGTATAGGCTTCTGTTTGAAGAAATAGTTAGGTATTCTCTTGAAGGTATAATATTCTTGTAGTAGTTCTACTACTTGTTGTAGGGTGAATTCATAATAGTTTGGATCAATTGGGAATAGATATCTGACTCTGCTGTTTAGTTGATGGTAGGTTAGAGGTAGAGGTTCTTTAGGTGGAGGTAGATCAAAATAAGTTAGTGGGATTTTTGTTAGGCTGTAGTAATCAGCTAGTTTGTTTCAGTAGTAACTAAGATGTTTGAGTACTCTAGGATCGGTTATGGGAAAGAAATTCTTGAGTTCTTCTTTGAGTTGTGAAGGATTGTCTGGTACTTGAGGTAAGATAATGAAGTATGTCTCCAGTAGGGTATCAAAATTGAAGATAATATGTAAGATGTTAGTGATTGCTTTAGTTTGTGATCTCTTTACTATAGGTAATTCAAACAGAAGTATCTCTAGGATTTCTTTACTGATTAGTTCAGATTTTTGAGGTAGGATTTGGCGAAGAGAGGTGTGAACATGATAGATTGTATCTAATATAGTTTTTGGGTTTTCAAGTAGAGTTGCCTTGATGAAATTTCTACAGTACTTAATTATTTGGAAGATTTGATGTGGTTTTAACGATCTAAAGTTAAGATTAGACAAGTAGTCAGTAGTAAGTTTTTGGCAGAGTTTGGTTTGTATTAGGTCTCGAGTCTCCTTGTCTGTAAGTGTGATATTATTTTTGAGTTTGTATGATTTAATTGCATTTTGGAATAGATCATTAAATTCAGTTTGGTGTGCAGGCATAATATTCTTCTTGTTAGTGAAGATTCTGAAGAAGGCAGGGTCTCTATAGTCAAATTTGAGCAGAATTGCCTTGGAAATATTGTGGTTTGTTGGTACTGTATTTAATTTATGTAGGAGAAATTCAGTTAGGTCTGTCATGCTATTGAGTGTATCAATAATCTTGTCTTTAGTCTAGGTTTTTTCATCGAAAGGAATTTGAATTTTCTCTTCTTTTCTGGTTGTTAATTGTATAGACTAGTTTGATTCGTAGTCTTCTTTTATTTCTTCTTCGAGGATCATCATATCTAGGTTAATATTTTGTTTGAGTGCTTGACTATAAGAAAGCTGTAGTTATTTTGGTAATTGCATATTGGTTTTGTAATTATTTGCTGTTGGTTCTTCAATTATCATATTAGGATTATTACTATTAGAGCCATTTAGATATTCTATATATGGTTTAGTTTGTTGTGAGGAAGTTTGTTGATCATCTATCTCCCGTTGCTTATTTGGGTTATTGGTCAAGTTGTGTTTATTTGTGGCTGTTGTGTTTGTATTGATATGTCTACTTTCAGTTGTTGTTGTTATTGTACTTGCTGCACATGTCGTGTTATTGTGTTTTGAAAGGGGTAAGCTAGTTTGCTCACTTTTTTCTCCTTGGGTTGTATTTTGAAAAGTTGAGTTATCAAAACGATGTTTTTTGGGATAGTTGTTTTGGTTGTTTTGGTTGTTGTCAGTACTTTCCATTGCTGTCTTGTTATCTGTTAATAGAGTTTGTTTTAGTTGGTAATAATTCTATTTATGGATATTTGGTGAAAACGCAAAAATAAATTTTATATTATAGTGAGAATATATATTTTATGTGATTATTTAATAATTGTTCAAAACATCAGGATGAATATTTATAGAAGATGTGTTAATAGTTTTATGAATTTATAGCTTCTAATAAATATATACCATAGCTTGAACTAGTAACTTTTTCAATATTTAGATCTGAAGTTTATTTAATATTTCTGTTTTTAAAAAGAAAAAAACTAACTATATATGGAGATGTAGCAATAAACTTTATTTTTAATCTTTATAAAAAAAGAAAGATAAAAGTAGTCACAAGTTTTAGATTAACTAAGGAATTTGAAGCAAAAGACAGTATAGACTAAGAAGAAGTTGTCTTATTATTAGTATAGTATATGTTTTATAATTTGTTATTTCATACAATTCAAAAAACAAAGAATACAAGATATAAAATTGTAACTAGATAGCCAGAAAATTTAGTTTACAATATAACCAAAGAATTATTTTATTAACAGGCTATATTAGCATATGCAGATAATACTACTTAGATAGCTAGATTCAAAAAGAAGTTACAAAAAATAGTTAGTACTACAAATGAATTTTATATATTAAATAATATTGAAATTAATAGCAAAAAGTTTGAGCTATTAGTTTTTAATGCAAACCTAAAAGCTAAAGAAATTAATAAATATTATATAGTAAATATTAGTAAGAAAAGAGATAAGATTTATATAAAAAAAGTTACTAGCTTATGCAGATATTTAGAAGTATGGATCTCAAATAAGAATAATTTAAACTGTAGTTTAAATATGATTAAAAATAAAATTAACAGAATATACAAAGCAATTAGGTAAAAAAAGTTTTAGTAAGCTAATTAGTATATTTAAATAATAGTATTTTATTGCTAAGTATAGAGTATAAACTTCAAACAATATTTCTGTTCAAATCTATATATAATAAATTACAAAGGTTAATTTGAATACTGACTAGGATAACTCTTTCCAATGATCACTAAAAACAAAAATTGGAAGAAAGAAAAATAAACAACTACTATATACTTTACTACCAATTTTCAAAATTTTTTAATATGGATAGTTTATTATTTTATTACTAGTTTGAGTTTGGCACTCATGATGGAGCCGGGAACCCGTTGAATATTTTGCAGGGTACATGCCTCATCAAAATTAATTTGGATTGTCTCTACCACCAAGCACATCCTGATGTCCAAATTCCACGAACCATTCTTCCCGATCCCATTGTACTGGATTTTTTCTTTGTCAGGAATGAAATTCTCCGTGCATATAGAGAATAATAGAAGTTTTAGTAAATAATAATTATTGTGATAAATGCACGTGCAGTAAATATAAATCAGGTCATAATTTATCTGAATATTATCATAACAAAATCAAGATAAATTCAGAGTAATTAATAAAAAATTGTTAGTTTGCCCGAATTTGTTTGTCTCTTGTGTATGCGTATATCAAAAAAAAAGAGATTGTGTTAGTGTAACTGGCATTATGCGTACATGCAATTATCACGGAACATTTAAAGTTTAAATTTATTCTATAAGACCCAATTCTCGAAGATGCTCTGGGATGGCTATATATGGGTCTTCGTAATACCAGACATAATCCATTCTTAAGTTGATCCCGTGCTTGCTATCTGATAAAATTATCAAGATCTCCTTTATGAAAGAATTTGCGATATTTTTCATGCTGAGGTCCATGGATTTTGATAGCAAACCCATAATCATAGTAAAGAATTTCAAGTTCTAATCCTCGAGGATGTTTAAGGGTTTTTAAGAAATCAGGTCGACGTATCTTAGATGGCAGTCCAAGATATTTTGATCTTTTATATGGTTAAGTTTAGCAAACCATGTATACCCATAATAAGGGTGATTGACTAATAACATACTTCTCTGAAAGACATTGTCCATTCGATTAAATGCAATTTTTTTAGTATCCTCAAGAGTAAGACAAGCATTACCTGCACAATGCGGACACCACTTCCTATTTTTTACATTGCTAAGAATTGCACGCCATAAATGACTTTCAATACACTACCATAATAATGGTAATCGATAATTAATATATTTTTCTGAAATGCATTGACCGTTTCTTGATAATGCAATTTGCATAGCATCATCAAGAGTAAGAGGAGCTTTGCCTACACAGAACGGACACTATTATCTTTGATTTTTAATACTATTAAGTGAGGCATTCCATACATGATTTTTTGAACAACGCCAATGTAATGATTCTGTACAATTGATATATTCTTTGGAAAGATATTTTCCTCCACGAGATTCAGCTATTTTTATTGCATCACTTAAAGATAATTTTTTAGGCACTATAGTTATCAGTTGTTTTGTTTTTTAATTGTCCGGAGTGTAGCGGAGGACTCTTAGTGTTTACGTCAAGTGATACACAAATTACGTTTTTGATGCATTTCGGTCACATAAAATTACTTTTTTGATGTATCTGCATAAACATTATGAAGATCACATCAGAAATGTAATTTGGAAATTTTTTGTCCGTCCGCACGCGTGTTTAAAT